TTTTGGTGATTAATTAAATTTTCGCATGATGATTTTTGGAGAACATTATTAATTTTTTTTTTCGTATTGCATGACGATTTTTAGTGATTAATCTTCTCGCATGATGATTTTTGAAGAACATTATTAATTTTTTTTTTCGTATAACCTTTTGCATGACGATTTTTAGTGATTAATCTTCTCGCCAAGAATTTTTTATTAAATTTTCGCATGATGATTTTTGGCGCATGAATTTTCATATGAACTTCGGACTGTTACTGAACTTCTGCCTGTTACTGAATTTTAATTTTTTTTATAAAAGTAGCTTTTTCGGTTATTCAAATTTATTTATTCTTACTTGAAAAACCAAAATAATAAAAATAGTAAAAATTCATCACGCTGCTCTCAAGCATCAACACCTCTGCCTGATGAAGGTGATCAACTTTAATCCTCTCATAATAGTAGAAGATCGGAAGCTCTCCGAAACCTTCAAGAAAAAGTACCTAGGCTTCGAGTACCAAATTATATAGATATAATTGATAATAATGAGAATAGAGAACCTGAAATACCTGCAAGCAGAAATGCACAAATAGATGCGTTGATGACTCTGGAAGAGAATTAGTAAATCATAATTAAAATAAATTTCATATATATACGTTGCTTTTTAGTTTTTTACTTAATTTTTTATCTAGAAATTGAACGATTAAAAGACAAAGTCAATAGCTGGAAGGAACAAGTCCGATTTTGGCAGAATCGACACAATAATTTTCTTGTTCAAGTTAAAAAAATTCGGGAGGATATGGACCGTATAAAGACTGAGAATGACGCATTAATTTTCGTCAATAAGGAGCTCAGAAGAATGAATGACGAATTGACGATGGAAATTCAATTGCGTAGCCAAAGATCGAGTGAAAATGAGGCGTCTGATCAGCTGAAAAAGAAGATTAAAAAGCCTAAAACCTCTGATGAAGTCCAAGAAAACAATGAAGAAGCGGCAAGGGTTTGTAAAGATGAGGATAATTTACTATGTTATAATGATTTTTATTTAATCTTTGTCAGGTTTTCTTTCAATAGACCGAGATGAAGGAAATCTTAAAAAACTTGTCGTCTGAATATGAAATAAAATACGACAAAGTTTTTACTAGTCCAGATAACAGAAGTATTCGGCAAAAATTAGTACCTGAATTATTAAATCGGTAAAGCCACGTCATAATCCTTCATACGTTCAATTAAATGACTGGCTACGTGCTTTACATAAGCATCGAAGGGATGACATTCTGTTAGTACAAAAAGGAACTCGAGACAGGACCAGTCGACAAGTACACAATAACAATCGGGTAGCAGAAGTGCAGTGCGAAATTCATTTAGGTTTATATTTATTTTTATTAACATTTGGCTTTTCGTAAATATAGAAAAGGGACCGATGAATAAGAGGTGCAGTAGCATTATTTGACGAAGGAGATAGCTGAATGTCGAAATATAACCAGGACGCTACCTTAAACATGCTTAAAGGTTAAGTATATTCACCTGAACAATCTGAAACTGATTCAGAAAATGAAGAGAGGAAGTGTCGAATAGTCGTGTATGATTATTCTTGGCGTTCAGATAAGGTTTATCAACCTTTTCTCTTAAATGTATTTATTTATTTTGAAAGCTAACTTTTTTTTTACTTTGTATGTATTAAATAAAGTTAAAGAATATTTTACGTGAGATTCTTGACAAGCATGCATTATCGCAGTAATCATCTCAGTTGTCAAGAGCTCGGTTCAGGGATGATAATCACTTCTATAAAG